GAGTCAGGGTGAGGCGCTGCCGTGACAGCACCACGTGGGCCAGGAAGGTCCCCAGGGGCCCAGCCCCAGTTCCCCACTGTTCAGCCCCCAGGGCAAGGTCCCCTCAACCGCCTCCTCATCCCGGGGACCAGGAGCAGCTCCTGCTCAGAAACAGCCCGTTTCAGGTCCCTGCCAGCCGAGGAACGAGCCAAACAAGTCAACTGCATCTTCTCTCAGGAACAGGGGGCACCGCACCCCCAAGTCACTACCAAGCCTGCCTCCCAGCGCCCCTGCCTCCTGCCCTTCGTGAGCCTGTGTGGCATGCGGTGCACTGTTAGGTTAACTGAGCACAACCAGAACTTTCATGGCAGTGCTGATTTTGTGAGAAGCAATGAAAACATGGACTCACCCCAGCAGACGCCCCAGCGTGCAGAGCTCAGCTGGCAGAGAGAACCGGGGGGCAGGATTTTTGCCACCGGGTAGTCCAAGCACGCCTTGTTAGTGTTGCACCAGAGACACTGGAAGAGAAGGTCAGGCTCGCAGTGTGACCACTGAAGGCAGATGGCCGGCCTCCGACCCCCAGTCCCGCCACACTGCCTGCTCCCTCTTTGGCCCCCACCCCAACGAAGCGGCTCCACCCCTCCTGCCCACCCAGGCCTCTTTCAGGAGACAACTTAAGATGCCTAAGAAAAGCTATTAATAACCATCACTTAAAAGATCCCTGCACGCATGCAGCCCCTGGAGCAAGGGGACGCGGTCTGCTCCCGGGTCACGTGCTGACCGCGCGTGACTTACAGAGACGTTTTTCAGGCACTCTTCACAGGTCCTGTTTGTGCTCTGAGAACAAGCTGCAGGGAAAGAACAGACATCGCTGAGAATTCTGGGGCGGCAACCCCGGGGAGGGCGCTGGGCGGCACCCTCGTGCACCAAGCCCTCGGGGCACACGAGCAGTGGCTGCCAAGCCCCTGTAGGTGGCCCCGGCGGACAAGCAGGCCGCGCACACGTGCCCTGACCAGTGGGGTCTCCCGGGCAGGAGGGAGGCACCACACAGCAAGGCAGGCCATCCCCCCGCAGAGCCCTTACGGCAGACCCCTGTCTGCAGACGCCCCCCTGGCTCAGGAGCACACTGTCTGGAACCAAAGGCCACAGCAGTGCCAGGTCGGACCCCAGCAGGCCTCGGAACCCTGGCCCACGCCCCCAGACACCAGGCAGAAGGCGGTTCCAATTGCGCAGAGCACACCCCTCCCGGAGAAGCAGGGGTGGGGGCTCCAAGCACCCTTCACAGCACGGCTGCCGCGGGCAGGGTCAGACCCCAGGCAGGTAACAGCTCTGGAGCTCCGCTGACCAGCAGTGAGGAGCTAGTGCAGGAATGACTTCCAGGACACCAGCGACAGCAGCTGTTCACCCACACCACCCCCAAAACACACGCTCGCGGAAGAGACCAGTGCAGACAGCACCAGAGTCACAACCAGGCACCGACGCACACCTGCCAGGAAGACTGACGACGCCAAGCGCTGGCGCGGACGGGGCCTCAGATGCGCGGCCGGAGAGCAGCGCAGCCCAGGCACTTGCACACACACACGCTGCCCCCGGACTCGGCAACTCCACCCTGGGCCGTGGACAGAAACCAGAACACACGCCCGGGGAGGTGGCAGCAGCCTGGCACACAGCAACAGCCAAGACCTGAAAACAGCCTAGAAGTCTGGACGCCCCGCTCGGCCGCGGCCTCCACGTGGTCCTGGGCACTGCCGGGCTCCCTGCCAGGGCCCTTGGGCTCCTCCTGCCTGGCGCCCCCCACAACATGCTGCGCCTGGCGGGGCAAGAGGACAGGGGAGGTCATCGGAGGACGGACAGAGAAACTGGTACAGTCCCCCAACGGGACACTCTCCAGCCCTAAAAAGAAGCGCGCTGTCCACATAAAACACGGATGGAGCTTACAGACGGGCAGACCCAGAAGCCTCACACAAAGCCCACGGCGCACAGCCCGCTGTTCAGGAGCAGGCGGAGCCACCTGCAGTGGATGGACTGGAGAGCCTCGAGAGGTTGTGAGGCTCGAGAGAGGCCAGCGTCACAGGGGTCACTCACCCGAAGGCACACGTGAGATCCCTGCATTCTATCAGACTGATCTCAAAGGAAAAACGGGCACGCGCTGAGCTCATTAATGACGCGCGCAGGGAGGTGCGGGGGTAGCGCAGATGTCCGCAACTTCAAAATGCACCGACCGGAGGAGTCGGACACCCGGACGGACGACGTACAGCAGAACGAGATAAAACCAGCGGTGGGCGTGTGAGTGTTCACTGTCCAGTTCTGTCCACTCTCCTGTGCTTTTGAAGATTTTCATAAGTAACTGTAGGGGAAAAGAGCTTTCACTTCAAGTGACAATTTTATTCATCATGTTTACTAAGTGAGACTAAAACAGTGAACTTACTTTGAAATAGTTGAGGAGTGTTTCTATTCAATGGTGTAGTTCTTCTATATTCCATTTTAAAAAAATAAAATCCTACTTCACTCAAAGTGAAACGCAAGCCCATCCGTCACAACATACCACCATACAGCGGCTGTTGTCAGACAGTCCTCTTTTCAGAGCGTCTAGTGGCGTGCTGCTAGTTTGGGCTGAAGCTTATTTTAAACTTTTTAAGTACTCAAAACAACAGATTTTGTTCAGCCCCAGGAAGGTAAAGAAAATTAACACCCCTGAAACACCTCTCACTCCTCAAAGCACTGCTGGGAGAGGGGCAGGGTCACCGCTGACGTCCCCGGGGCCTGACCTGGGCGAAGGAGAAGCAGCCCCGTGGTGCTGCAGCGAGGACGACATCACTGAAAGGCCGATTCCTAGTTCTGCCCACTAAGCGCCAAGAAAGGACAACACCCGAAGCAGAGGGCCAGGCGTGCTGCCCAGGTCTTGGCTTCGAGACATAATTTCCCACTAAAAGGAAGCAGGCTCCTTGCAGAGAAACAGCTGATTCCAGACCTGGGGCCGAGAAGGGACAAGCTCAGCCTGGGACAGCTCGCTGTGCCGGAAAGTGGAGCAGACTCACAGGCAAATGGCAAAGGACCCAGAAGCAGCTTGGAGGGTCCTCCCTGCCAAACCGGCACAATTTAACCACCCAGGTGCATGACAGTCATGGACTTGACCTCCTGAATGCCCCAAGGTTTCACACTGACACAAAATAAATGCAGAGAAGGACCACGAGCAGAGTCTCCACCGCAGTAAACACAGACGCTAAGACCGCGGGGCCCTGCCGGTCTCAGAGCGCCCCTCCTGGTTTGTTTATACTTGGGAAGGGAGATCAGTACTTGAAAAGTTATCGAGAGCATCCCCACGACCACCTGCGGCCACATGACAAGAGGACAAGTGACAGCAGGTGCCGCCAGAGGGTGTGGGGAGGACAGTCGCAAGGGGCTGAATCCTCCCTAAACGTATCTGAGTCGTATCAGAAGAAACCCGCCAAGACCACAAAGCGGCCCTCAGAGAAGCGGCCAGGCCAGTGAGCGCAGACTGAGAGACATGGAGACGGAAGGCGGCCCGCGAGCTGGGCCCAGCGGACGCTGCTGGGATAATGTCAATCGCAGGTTCAAGTCTTGTGCTGGGGCGCCGCCCAGACCGTGCTGGCACGTGCGGGTTCTGGGGAGAAGCGCCCTTGTTCTCAGAGATGCTCCCTGACAAGTCGAGGGTAAGCGGCCACAGCACAACTGCCTGCAAAGGGTTTGGTTAAAACGGCACCAGCAGATACACACAGGTGGTGGCAGAGGCTGCAGGAACAGGAAAGGACTCAGGCCTTCGCTGCGCTATTTACTCCTTCAGCGTTTTCTGCAGCTTTGACCCGCTTCTCAGTAAACAGCGCTCAGGGGAGGCACAGCGGGAAACAGCCCTGGCTCCGGTCCTTCCTACGAACTGCAAGGGCGGCCGCGGGGGCGGGAGGAGGCAAGCGGCACAGGGATGTCCAGGTCCCCGTTACCGCTGGCCCTACACGAGCTAAAGACACACACCACCACCCTGTTCCCCCCGGCCAGTGTGAGTCAACAGAGGCCGGGAGGGAGGCTCTCCACGCAGGAGCGCCAGTCTTCAAGGGCCCTCCCCAAGGAAGCTCAGCGCCCCAGAAGGCTGTTCCTTACTCGCCTCTGGAAACACCCACGGGGTCTTGCGCAGAAAGGAAAATGCATTGACCATCTGCTATCCTGTTCAGAGACAGGAAGTCAAAGGTCACTCTCTGCATCTCATCTCATCCCGGGAATCAGAAACTTGCGCTGAAAGCCCGCAGCCAGCGAACTCCGGCCGCGTTTCCAAGGTCTAATGCCGAATGTCATCGTCCTGACTTCCGAAGGCCTGCGGCTGAGAATCAACTTAGACCCTCCTTATCAGTGACCAGGGAACATTGAGCTTCATGCTCTTGGGAAACCAAAATAAAAAGGAGGAGGAGGGTACAACTCAGTGGTAGAGTGCGTGCTTAGCGTGCACGAGGTCCTGGGTTCAATCCCCAGTACCTCCCATAAAGGTAAATAAACCTAATTACTTCCCCCCAACAAAAAAATAAACAAACAAACTTTTAAAAGATAAAATTTAAAAGAAAAGGTTCTGCTACGACACAACAATCCATGCCGCATTCGAGTTTCAGGTGAGGCGACTGCTGCAGTACCAAGGGCACACGTCAGCACGTGTGAAGACGTACGTTTTCATAAACAAGGAAATGAGAAAGTACATATTTACTGTGGGCACAGCAGGCCACAGGGCTGCATTCAGCCCCTCCCTGGGCAGTGGAAAAGCCCCGGAATCTGCACGGTGGCCACACCACATGGTGACAGGGCACAGAGCGTGCCTGCACTGTCAGTATCACACGAGAAACAGGGCAAAAAGTTCGTTTAAACAAAGAAGTTTTGGCCGTGCTACCACCTCTGCAGAGGAGTGAAGGGCACAACACAGGTCAAGACGCGGACGGATGGCGCCCACATCCAGCCCCTCCAAATCCATGCCCTGTGGCGAGGAGCCCCCGCCCTGCCCCCTGCGCTGGCCGCCACCCAGCTCCTCTAGACCCTCCATTTACTACAACAGGTTGAGGCCATTTCAAGGGTGGCCTTCCCTCAGGATATAAAGATGAGACTCTGGGATGGAGTCTGACCCCACACACAATTAAAGCAGGTCCAAAGCCCAGGAAGCTCTCTTTAATTCAATGAACTTCCCCCTGAAGATCTCACATACCTTGTGGGGGCCTGATGCCTCCCCTCCCAAGCACACGTTAGAGAAGACATCAGAGATGGCTGGTTCGGGATCAGTGTGATGGTGTTTGAATTCACACACCTGTGAGGGTTAATTTTATGTGTCAACTTGATTGGGCTAAGGGATGCCCAGAGGGCTGGTACCACACTGTTTCTGGGTGTGTCTGGGAGGGTGTTTCTGTCGAGCATTTGAGTTGGTGGACGGGTGAAAGCAGAGGGTCCTGTCCAAGGCGGGGGCGGGGGGCATCACCTAAATCGCTGAGGGCCTGAACAGAACAAAAAGGCATGGAAGCGCGAATGTGCTTTTTGTTGGAGCTGGGACACCCCTCTTCCCCTGGCCTTGGACCTGCGGGCTTGGACTGGGACGTACCCAGTGGCTCAGGCCTTGAGACTCGGGCTGGAACTACACACCAGCCTCCCTGGGTCTCCAGCTGCAGACAGCAGATCACAGGACTCCTCAGCCTCACGATCACACTAGCCAACCCCTCATAATAACGCTGTCTCCATGGCTACACATATTCTGTAGGTTCTGTTTCGCTAAGGTGGCCAGGCTAATACACACAGCATCCTTGCAAGGAAGACAAAAATGTCTTAAAGAGTGCAGTCACATTCCTGTGGTATGACAAGCAGTAAAAATCTCACACCAAGCCCTCGCTACATGGGAAGGGGGGATCTCAGTGCTCAGTGTGGCTAGAAAAGGAGCTGCTTTTCTCCTGTAACACTAGAATGATAGTCTGGTTTAACTCCCAAACGGCCACAGGATGCAGTTACTCATCTCCCGGGGCATCTGCCTGCAGCTGGCACCCAGGGCAGTGTGAAAGGCAGAGCAAACACACCCTGACATCGCGGTGTGCACACCGTCGGCCGCCAAGGAGTTTCTTGTGCGATCACGACTCCTGGCTCCTGTGCACGCTGTTGGGTAAAAAGTACTGATTCCACATTTGTGCTGAAAACTCAATCTGGACCAGAAGTTCCCTCTACCGTGAAACTCGACTGCTGCATTAACATACAGCGTCACAAGTGTATACACAAGTCTGTTAGGAAGCGGACGAGAAGAAACTCAAGCAGTCTTGCACTGGAATAAACACCCCGTAAGGTCACAGAGGAAAGGTGCTTTGCTGTGCTAAACAGAAGTGAACAGAGCCCGGGCTGACGCGAGTTGGCCGGCTGGGCCCCAGCGTGTGAGGAGGCCTGCCTGTGGCTAGGCCAGCCTGGGGCTCTGTTCCTCACCCACAGCGATCACAAGGAACGCCACACACAGCAGCCAGCATGACGCTCCCAGATTAAACCCGAGATTCCACCCCGCCTCCAGCAGTACCTGTTACTGGAATTCCTTGGCCCTTAGGTCATCTGCTCCCCCTCACCTGCCTCCCAGCACTCTAACTGCTGTTTCCTGGTCAGGCTCAAGAACGCAGCGCCTGGACAGGACCCCTGCCTGCAGTCGCCACCGTGGGCCCGGCACCTGGCACAGGTGGTTACCAAGAACAGGTGGGATAAACCAAGGAAGGCTGCCATCTGCCCATGCACCGAAGGTCTGGAGAGTGTAGGAGCAGAGTAAGTCCAAGCGCTGGCCGCTGTCCCTGGAGCTCCCTGGAGGGGTCTAC